GCTCAAGTGCAGTGTTGAGTATTAAGAAAAATTTCTTAACATGTGTATTCAGCTAAAAATCTATCACATAATCAATAAATTAGAAATATAAAACAATGCATAATTAATAACTCTATATAGGCCTCAGAGATATATATAGTTATTAATCACACATTGTTTTATCTTATAAAGTAGTAGAAAAGTTACCTCCTCGTACAATTATCGGGTATCTTCCTTACTTTATTACAGTCATTTACGTCTATGAATTCCGAATAACGAGGGCAGAACTCTTCAGTTTTCCCCAATGGTGGAGCAGTCATGCCTCCCATGCCCATGAATCCACTGCAAGGTCGGAGAAGGTCACAATTGGTAAGTATGGAGAAAAACATACTTTCGTTTCTGTCTGTGAACCGAATCATTTTGATCTCCAATTTTCAAAAATGAACATTTCAACCCCTAAAAATTGTTCAAGTTGGTCTCTAACACTACTAGAAATCAGGTTGGGCATCTTCTATAACATGCTGTTGTTAATCACTATTAATTTCAAATTTACTTATTTAGCTTTTCTTTTATAGGAAACAGAAACGTGTATATTCATCAAAAACAGAAAGAAGCAAAAAAGGAGATGAGATACCCAAAACTTATTTAACTATTATAATTAAAACAAACAAATAAGAAATTGTGATGTAAACTAACAAATAATATACTCTGGTATAATCTCAAACTAATTAACTAGTCACTTAATTTAAAATTGACAATGTAAGAAAAGTCATCCATATTAACACATCAGTCAGACTTCTGTACCTGTAACTAAAAAAACAGTAATTCTAGGAACCAATTCGAACCATTTCTCTCATAAAAAAATTTCAAACTATTTCTCAAACTGTAAGGTTAATGTCATTGAACCACAGAGACCAAAATAAATTATTTTTTTATGAGACAAATTTCCTTAATTAAAGAAATTTATATAACTCGTAATCATGAGGGAAGAGAGCAGCATTCCAATTGAAGTTAATATGAGGTGGGGACAAGTTACAAAAGTCTTTTTAACTAGAGCTCCAAAGATAAGCTACAAAATCATTGTTATGCCAAAAGGTTTGCACTATAATTCCTAAACATGTTGGACCAAAAATGTATTCCTTTATACAATCTCATAAACCCAAAAACATCGAAATTTACCTTGGGACAGGATATCCACCATAAATACATGCCCAGTAAGAATTTGCTTCAGGTGCCATCGGTGTATTGAAAGCCATGGGACAGCCATATGGGTTTGTGAAAGTGTTGACATGATGCCAAGGTAATGCATAATGTGGCGTAGCTCCTGAAAATATAATATTCAACACAAACTTAAACCCCCTCATAGTAAAGATTCCACCAAATTTGCAAGATATACACAGAGTCTAACTCATTACCCATTAGATGAATAGGAGGTGGCTTTGAAGCAACTGGACAGTCTCTAATGAAATGGTCCAGAGAACCACACATGTAACAAGCACGGCCACGCTGATTCAAGGGTGAAGTTCAAGATCAACTTGATGCAAGCCCCTACATAAACCAGAATCGCGAAAGGCAGTGGAATATTTACCTTCTTAGGTCTTCTAAAATCTGTAAGGTTCTGGATTTTGCCTGGTATATCTGCAAGAACAAAAGAAAATTGGCAACAATGAGCATATAATTTTTAGCTGCAAAGAAAATATCCATGTGTATATCCTACCAAAGGCATTACCCGGCACTTCATGCTTCCCAAAAACAGGCTGACTTTCCCCTTGACAATCATCAAAAGGAGGAAGGTCTTCAGGTCTACCACCAAAATTTTCAGGATGGCAAGATCCAGATTCTGCTCCAGCAACTTTAATCTTCTGAGGCAAAGTGAATTATAATGATGAGTGCCATGCACCCAAATGAAAGGAATGGACCTAAATGTGGTTTACCATATTTCTTTTTAATGATGAGTCATGGACGTAATCCACCACTTCTTGATTAAAACCACTACCAGTAGCATAAGACAAACAAGGCATGTCTTTTCCTTCAATTCTTGATTCTTCATCTGTTTTAGGAGGATAGATAAATGATTATACACTAAAACCTATTAAAGTACATTCAAATATAATTTTTCCACCTGGTGCATTGTTATGACAAGCATTATCTGAGTCGCCCATCAGGATCTGAGACTCAAGGAAACGGGCAACATTTTGCCTAAGAGATAAATTTGGCAACAAATCTTCTAGTTTATATTTGGTAGATGAACACTTGGGGCACTTTGTCTTTTCCAGCAGAACATGATGAATGCCTGTACCAGAAATCAAAAGTTAAATAAAGTATTTAATAGCAAGCCAAATAATAACCACAGAGGAAGCCTGTCACTCTTAACATCTGACAGGTCACGAAACGTACTTCTCAGTTAATTAATGGAGGAAGTAATGGAAACATACAAAATACTTTTTCTTAAACCCATCCCTGAACCAATCACAAGATATTCATTCAATCATATTCTCATCCACGAGCTTAGATCCTCTATTATACTGTCTCTCTAAGCCTAGGATGTTTGGTGGTGGTAATTGATGAACTTTGCAAGGGTTTAAGTTTAAGGTAACAGATTAGTTGGTGGTATTACTGGCTTCTCATTATCAGGTAAGGTAGTGGGTCATCGGGAAGTGGGTGTCAGATTTGGTAATATTTTTCTTATAAATTTAGCAGTTTTCTCTAGTGAGGACTAGTTTTTGACATATCAACAAAACTCTTCAAATTTTTGTTTCCCCCCTTGCTCTCCCCTGTCCTTATCCCTTGCTTTTCTCAAACCGTCAAACGTAGACAAAAAGTCAATGACAGTGACCTTTATGCTCTTGATTGAAAAAATTATGAAATAGTCAACAAGTCTGGTTATAGAAGCAGAGGCATTCAGAACTATAAAAAATTATTCCAACTTTAATAACACCAAGCTATTCAAGAACACGTGACACAGATGTGTACAAATTTCTTGTGCCTAAAATCCATGTACTTCAGACAGCCTATGAGATTAAAATTAGAACTATTGTCTAACCATACAGCAATTGGTGGTCTGTATAATCATTTTAAGGCCTTCTACCACTGCAGCCAACTCTTAAAGGTGTGAAAAATCATTTTTTTTTTCCATCATATTTTTTGAAAACATTGCAGCAAAGATTTTAAGAACAAGATGTTGAAAGATATCATTCACAGAATATTTCCAAATACAGAGACTATAAGAAATGTAAACATTAAATAATGAGTTCCAGAAACTTACACTTCTGACAAAAACTAAATCACAAATATTTCCAAATACAGATGCTATGAGAAAAGTAAAAAATGGGTTCCTGAAACTTACATTTCTCACAAAAACTATGCTTACAGAAACCAGTGATTACAGCATCCACAAAGAGTGAGTTGCAAAGAGTACACTTCAGTTCTGAAGGTATTTCACAATTATGAATCGCTGGAGCCAAATCAACAACCAGTCTACAAATTCCAACAGGTTATACAAGTAAGATTATCAAAGCAAATAACCAAAACCATTATTAGAGCGAAAGACAGTAACTACATATCCTACTTTTCCAGACCAATGTCATCGCCAATATTTAGGTTTATGTTCGTTTGCAGCTCAGTTCCTCCAGCTGTTGTACCGTGACCTGAACCTAAACATAGTGACATTTAGATAAGAAAGGGATAAGAAACCAAAAACATCAAAAATAAAATTAAAGTACCTACCTCCTTGAATGGCCTCACTGATGGCACTTCCTTCAGGTTCAATATAACCTCTCTCGGTCTCCTTATAACATCTGAAAACACAATAAAAGATTTCCCGTTGAGTAATCAAGACTGCAAATGATATATTTGATAATAAAAGGGAAAAAATAATAGAAAAGTACAACCTAGCAGCATCATTATTTGTACTATTGTAAGAAATGGATGAATTTGCTTTGCGAATAGGATATAAGTCTACACCAAAATCATCAAAATTGTCCGTCTCAGCAATCTGCATGTTGTCCAGAAAGATTACTAAGACAAGGAAATCAAAACATAAGACAATACAAGTTAATCATTTCAAGAAATGATGAAAGTGATTCCAACACTTAAAAATGCATGTGCTATCCTATGAACCAACCGAAGCATTGTTAAAAACTTGTATCCTTGATCATGACAATACCAACAGGGTCAGTTAATGGATGAGACCCCATGTAGGACTTCAAAAAATACACGATGGCTATCAATATGAAGAGCATACAAGTTGAACTCTTATTCAACCTTGTTGAGATCTGTCCAGATATAGTTTGAAGTTCTCAATGTAACAGATAGAACAAATCATACAACTTCAAATAGTCCTCTTAAAAATTAACCAAATAAGACATCAATTGAAACCATGTTGAGAAGCAGAACCATATAATTATACATTGTAAAAAATCATTTCCCTTCATCTAGGAATGATTCTAAATTTCTGAGAATAAGGCAAGCATAGTAACATCAAGCGTGAATGTCACAAGATTACATGGAATCGGCTGTCATTTGGGTTAACTATATTTCCACCAATCATGACAAAATAACACTCAGTTCCACTATCTATAGACCAAAAAAGTAAGATCATAGCAACTGACAAAGAAAGATACTAATCAACATACCAATGGACGAGATGAATTAACCATGTCAGTGTCTTTGACTTGAAAATTCCCAAACAAGTCGCGATGCACACTGCATTACAGTATCATTATATGGAAAATCACCGGTAATTTTCAGTTAGGATTGAATAATTAAAATTAATTGGAATTTTATGGATTCATATTGAGCTGCGTAAGGTTATATATAGCAGTAACACGGCGTGAGAACTGTTGTAGCAGAAAAAATTTCAGTAAAAGTAAAAGACATCACTCAAAAACACAACGGATTTTGCAATAACGACGATATAAATATGGATGCGGAGGCATGCGGATAACGTATTGGGGTTTTCAAATCCCGAAACTACAATTATTGTCATAACAACTCAATTCAGAAGAAATGATATCTTACACGTGTGCATTTGAAGGAACTGATCCCGCGGGAACTCTCTTGATTATCACGCATGAACCACTTGGAATTTCAAATTTCTCGTCAACTAAATCTGGAAAATAAGGAGTATCAGGAGGAATCTTGAACTAAACACCTTCCGATATGATGGAGTTACCCATGTAGAAATGTACTGTACTATGAGAACCAGGGATGTATGGGACCCCGAAAGCTAAAACAAATAGAATCTCAAAGCAAAAACGTCTTAGCTGCCTAATTCCCAGATGCATTAACCATGTAAAGAAGTCGTTCGACAAAGAAAAAACTCTTAAGGGCCACACAGTGCTATGAACTGAATAAAAACGAAATGGTAGAATCGAAGGACTCTTCAACTTAAATCCAAAACACGCCACCACTAGAGGCAGGGAGAGGATGGAATACCTTGACCGGTTTGGGCATCGGAGAATACGAGATCGAAGTTTTTGCAGGAATCGAGGTTCTTCATGCGAATAATTTTGGATTTAAGATCACCAACTGATATGGAAGGTCGACCTTCGATATCCACCGAGTCGAAGTTCACCGAGCTCCTGAACTTAAATTGGATCGCCATAGACGAAGAGAGAGAAACTCAGATCATTAGAGTTGGAGAATTCGGTCCTCAAAGGAGCAGAGATTTTCTTAATATCAGAACTCAACCGCCACGCTTGCAGTTAGGGCTCAATTCGGATGATCATAAAAATTGCGCGGGTATGACACTCCAAATGTGATAAATAATAACAATAATAGTAATACGTACATGTTTCTGATTTTCCAAAAAATAATAATAGTAGTAGTAACGATATAAAAAATATTTTAATTTCAAAATTAAATTAAAGTAGGTTATTAAAATAATATGCAAATGCATAGCTCAGCATATCTCCCGATTTTTTTTAAATAATATTTTTATTTAAATTTAATTTTAAAATAATGCTACATTAATTGAAACTAATTCCAAAAATAATGCTTTTGAATTTAGTCTCTCACTTGGTCGTCTCTCGACCATGTATTGAAAGCGTATCTCGAGGTCGTTTCTTCACGGAATGACCTGGATTCTTAAGGAAATAATAAATATTATTATACATTATATACTAAAAAGTAGAGTTTTGTTCACTATTTGATAGTCGAAAGAGCAATTTTCTTCTTTCACATTTATTAAAAATAAAATAATAATAATAACTAAAAAGTTGATTAATTAATAGTAAAAGAAAATAACCTGTGTCATTTCGAGTTCATGTGAAGTGAAGGAAGAAAATTGTACTTTTGTCCACTGCACCACTAATTGGTCCAACAAACAAAAATATACTTTTTATTATATAATGTATATATTATTTATTATTTCCTTAAGAATCAAACTTGTCCCACGAAGAAACAACCTCAAGATGCGTTCCAGTACATGGTCGTCGAGACGACCATGTCTTGATTTAGTGTCATGGTCGTCTGACAACCAAGTGAGGGACTAAATTCAAAAGCATTGTTTTTAGAATTAGTTTCAAAAGAAGTATGTAATTTTATTTAATGCAGCATTATTTTAAAAATAAGTTTAAATAAAAACATTATTAAAAAAAATACTATATCCCCACTTTCATAGTCTTCTCTTGGAATAATTTCAAAAGCATTATTTTTTAAATGAGTTTCAACCAATGCATTATATATTTAATATGTTTCAAACGAACATTATTTCACAAATAAATTTAAAAATAAGCATTATTTAAAAAAATTCCAAAGTATCGAGAGATGAGGGAGATATTTTTATTTGAAGACAAATTTAGTAACAGTGAAAATGTTTATAATAAAACACAAATTTGGTATAAAAAGTTTTTTATTTATTGAGGTGGTTGAAACTTGGAAATTGTATTCTCTACTTTTTGTTCAGTACAACTAGGAAGGATCCACAATTCGGGAATCCTCCTCAGTTTAAAAAGGCTATCGGATATGCCAACATATGAATGAGAATATTAGAATTTAGAAGTAAGAATTTTTTTGTATTTTTTTAAGGAAAATATTAGAAGTAAGATTTATTATAAATGGCACATTAATTCATATTTTGGTCGTTGAAAGAAAAAAAAAAAACTAATATTTTGCTAAGGAGAGAGCTTCTGTTAAAAACAGTCGATTATTTCAAAGGAAAAGAAGACAAAATTTACATAAAAATCCTTTATAATTTCAGAAACACAGCTCTAGAAATTCTACTACATGTAAAATCTATACACAACTTTTTTATATTTCTTAATTGCACATCACATAAGCACGTGGTAGAGATGGAAGAAAGTTGGTAGCCCACCAAATTGATTGAACACTACTTGACAGTTTAAAGTACACAATCAATAAAATTGGCACAAGCCACAAGGGCGTTATCCCATTCTCCCATCAACCACACTTTACAATAGGCAAGAACAACGAAAGAGTGTCACAGTTTAAAATGAATTAAGCTCAATTAATCAATGCAAAACCTGAATAAGGCTACCTTATCGAGAACCATCAGCATTTCTTGTTCCAATTCCCTGAAGTCTTCTCATCCATTTATTTTGTGATGTGGTAAGATCGGCAGAACCTTTCAAAGGAGTAGGATTTGCAAGAGACGTATTTGGCACTGGAAGTTCAGCAGGAAGAGCGGCGGCGGTGCTGGTAAAGGCGTTTAGGACCAGGAATGCCAATATTGGAGATAAATCGAGTGTCCCTCCAAGTGGTGGGATAATCCCACGAAATATGTTCAAATATGGGTCGCATAGCGTGCTGAAAGTGAAAAAAACCATGACAATTAGCAAAGCAACCATTGAGGAGCAAACACCCAATATGATGCAGAGGGTCGAAGCTAGAAATTTTCGTAGAAGGGTAAGATTTTACCTTAATACGGATAATGGAGAGAAAACACTAAAATCTAGACATTCATATATACTTTTTGTAATCTAAGATGAACTAAGTGGGACTGGGAGGTTGCCCCTCTCCTTCTTTCTTCCCTTCACCCCTACCAATGCACACAGAGATATTTGACAATAACTAATAGCTATGACTTTGAGGTTGTTTGATCAACTTCAAAGCTAATTACTGTTTTCTAAAATATAGGAACACATTTTTCATCCATAAATTTTATTTGACAGAGTAGTTTTGAAATATTGTTTATGAAGCAAAATATAACACATGACAGGAACAATAGCCTGTGATTTGTGAATTTAAATGTGAGTTTTATAAGCATGAACTAACATGGATTGGTGAATTCAAAATTTAAATAATATATAGTTCAACTTATAAATCACACAAGCCAGACGCCCACTGTAATTCTTTCCATCTAATTTCAGGCTGTAAGCATATATGGCCGATGGTTCGCTATGTTCAGTTCAAAAAATGTCATTCCAGGCTCACGGTCACTCGAATATTGTGAAGACGAATATATATATATATATATATATATATATATATATATATATATATATATATATATAATTACAATAATAATAGTAATGTCAAAAACAAATAAAAGGTACCTTAGGGGACTAACAATGGCAGGAGGTGTGTTCGGAAACCAAGTCAAAACTAGCCTGACGACCAACAGTGTGTTGTAGATACTTAAGAAATTCTGGATACCATTAGAAACTACAATTCCTGCCAACGAATCTCCAGGCAAAACTGCAGCAAAATTGTGGCTGGAAAGAGCTCTGAAATTCCTGGAGTTCATACAGTGGATCTGAAATAAAATTCAACAGAAGTACTGCGGAAATTAGAAAATCGAAAACCCCGGGAAAAATTAACCGTAAGAAGTAGGTCATATTCTAGCTGAAAATCGAACTGTACAACGGATATAAGTACAAAAGACAGAGCAATTACATCGGAAAGTAGCATACATACACGAAGCAAATTTCACGAAACCGTTAGAATACAGGTGGTAACATGTAGTTAGCAGTTACCTGGTGGCGGAAACTCTGGAACTCGGAAGAAAGCGAGAGCAGTTTCTTCAGAAATGGATTCTCGGAAGCCAGTGAATGAACAAATACGATGCACTTTTCAGCAGTTGACGCGAAAGATTCGTGGAGGTCGCGAAGAAAATTACATGGAGGGCCGAAATCGGCGTGCCTCCTCCTGGATACTCCAAAAGCTGTTTGAGAAAATGCCGGAGAGAATGACGACACGCAATTTGGAACGAAGTTGAATCCCGTAGACCTCCGTCTAGGGTTTAGAACTGACGACTCGTCTGGAGCCATCTTGCTTCGCTCGTCTGTGAGAGAACCAGCCGAGGAAGAAGAGGATAAAGGATTGAAGAGTGATGATCCTGAAGCAAACACCGGAGCTCTCTCCCTTCCTCGAGTGGGCCGTGGTTTCTTAGCTATATGCAATTCTGATCCAATCGACTGGCCCAGATAACAATTATGAGCCCAATCCATAAGCCCATTATTTCCGGCCCAATATATGGCATGCCACTTGTCAAAATGGGTGTATCATTTTAACCGAGTTTTAGCTTCGTTAAACTGCACCTTAAAATTTGATGAGAATTATAGTCTCATCCTCAGCTAAAGTTGGTATTTTTACACTTATCAAATAAGAACCACACCCCTTTTGGTGGGGATACAGCTGCGTGTTTGATTTTATTAGTTATTGTTTCCTACAGTTACCATAGCTTGATGTTCATGGCATGCTATGGAGCCTCCATCGCGTCAAGGGACCAAGTAAGACATAACTACCGACACATGGCTTTTATTTCATGTCTTTATTTTATCATGGTTCAAATTATGGTATCCTAATTGTAGATGAACCATGTACAAAATTATTTAGAATTTATATATCTTATGCAACAACCTCGAAGGATGAGGTTATCACAAAATTACGTATCTTTTAATAAATATTAAATATGATACACGAACAAATATAGCGCTATCACTACAATAATTTGATTCTCGATCTTTTTCTTGGATCACTTCACAGTCTTTTCTTTCAATCGAGTTGCAGTTGGCCACGTTAAAATAAAAAAATGGAGGAGGAGGGAACAAACTTCTACTGGGGTTTTTATGTCAAAGTGTAGGTAGTCCACGTATTCATAAACATATTTATAAATTTGAATAGATGATAGATTTCGAACATTTATCTCATGTTAAGGTATAGATTGATGGAGTTTAACATTTATGGTGAAAATTTATACGATTAACTAGATTGATGGGTAACTAATGAATTTTCCTCTTGTAAACAAATCAATGCATGGGATATGGTGTGATATGAAACTATAATTATTTTAACGTTACGAAGTTTTAAAAGTTAGTGTATCGTCTTAAAATAAATTGTTTATAAAAAATGACTACATTGTTTCTCTTAATGTACCACGACTATAGCTCAACTAGTTAAGATATATATATATATATATATATATATTCGAAAAAAAAACGTGGACTCAAATTCGATATATTATACTAAATGTCACCAAATTGGTTTTTAGTTGGTCTAGCGTGATTCTATAATTTTGTCATCTATGTCATATGGTATTTTTGTAACAATTAAAACTAATGCTATATATAAAAACACACAATTTTTTGTGCTATTTTTCAACAAACAAACAAAGTTATTCAATCTCATTATTTTTACATCAAAATAATAGTGATTTTTTTAAGACAACATAGAGGGTGAGGTTCGAACTCGCAACCTCTCAAATTGAGATATAAGACTTAAAATAATGGTGATGTATCCAGTAGGCTACAAACAAACCACGTAATGAGCCAATTAATATTAATAAAAAAGCACTAGATGTCCAAATAAAGTTATTTAATGCACCTCATTATTAAGATAGGCGATTGAAAAGAACATGGAGAAGTTATTTATTCCCACATTATATAACTTTTTTATTTGTTGGTTTTCTAATTAATTGGTCCATTGAAAAAAATAAATAAATAGAGAAAGAAAAAACCTATAGAATTTACAACATACACTCATGTTCAACATAGTTCATGTGGTTGTCAAAGCTATAACAAATCGTAAATGTTTGTTTGTCTCAACGAGTAGCTCTAGAAATTTCAAACAATTACTTGGACAACGAGATACATTTACGTACTATCAATGTTAATATTGGTATGTTTGAGATGACAATCTCGACTCAACAAATCATTTATTCTGCAATGAATTAGTGGCATAAATCCCCTTCATGATCCGTTCGAAACAAACATAAATATAAATACAATTATGAAATAACTAACATTCCTCGTATGAAAATTGTTTCATAATAGTCATAACTAAGTTACAACCAAATTAAAAATCTCATCGTTCGAGATAATGATACTAATAAAACAAAAAGTATATAAAAAGCACAAATAACACTAATAAAAAAAGTCAACAATGTAACTAGAGTAGATAATCATAAAAAAAAACACATGTATGTCATAAATAATACATAATATGATACTTATTTATGAAAATAACTCTCCATAACACTTTATGCCCTTTTTGTCTATAAAAAAAAAAAAACTCAAGAAATCTAACTAATGGTCCTAAATTAGAATGAAAATGATCACGCTAAGCAGTAGAACCAACATAAAAAATGAAAATTTTAAGTAATCGGGTAACAAAAAGATAATTGTTTGGAGGAGAATGAGACAAAAGTACGAACATAATCATTTTAAAATTTCAAAATTTCAAAACCTACTTTATATAAATATCAGTTGGCGGGTAAGACGCTCCCAGTGGAGCGCGTGGGAGTAAAAAAAAAAAAAGATTTAGCAAACGGAAAATAAATGAGGATAAAGGGAGCCGTTGTTGAACAAACCGCCGGTTAAAAAGAAAAAAGAGAAGAAAAAAAGAGAGAAGAAAAGAAAAGAATCGAGTCCATGTACTGGGAGCAGTAGCCGGTGACGTGTCGACTACGCTATAAATATCTTGCCCAGTTTCTCCGTTTAATTTTTCTGGGTTTTTTTTTTTTTGAGACTCAAGTTTACACCTGTTAGAGCGGGAACCCAAAGGTTTTTCCAAAAACAATGCCTCTGCAACACCATTTTTTCTCTGGCTCTGTCTCTATCTTGTCCATTCTCCATTATTAGGGTTTCGATTTCAAATTCTCTTCGTTATAGAGCTTTTGATTTCACATTCTTTTTGTTCAAGCTTTGTCTCCAGCAACCGAATATGAGCCTACGCAAGGGCTCTAAAGTCTGGGTGGAAGACAGAGATTTTGCTTGGGTAGCAGCTGAAGTCCTCGACTTCGTTGGTAAGCAAGTGCGAGTTGCAACTGTTAATGCAAAGAAGGTGATTTTCCCTCTCCTTCTCCTCGGCGACTTTTCAGAATTTTGACGCCTTACGAAATGATGCTCTCAACTGTATTTTCTGCTGGTCAACTGTAGGTCTTGGCTCTTCCCGAGAAGCTATTGCCGAGGGACGCGGACGAGGACGACCATGGAGGGGTGGACGACATGACGAAGTTGACCTATTTGAATGAGCCTGGGGTGCTTTACAATCTTCAAAGAAGATATTCTCTCAATGACATATATGTAAGATATAGTTACACAATACTCTGAAGATGGACAGATTAGTTGTTTGTGCGAGTTTTGTCTTTAAGATAGTTAATTATGGCTAAATGTATACTTAATTATAATTTATCTTGGTTAATGAACTTATTAGTTATTTTTTTACCACAAGGGCAATAGTCATATAATGGATTGGATATGGAGGTTATTTGAGTATTTCATCTGTGTAGTCTTATGTCTGACATATGGTGCGGCTTCTGTTATAATTCAATGAATTAACACCACAAAGTTTAGCATCCCTGTTATCAATTAATGGAATGTTGTGAGTGCTCGAGTTCAACAAGCAGCTGACTACGTGAGCACTATTATACTATGCTGGGAAACTTTTACTTTGTTGGCATAGATAGCTTATTTGCTAAGCTGTCATTGAAGCACTTGTACCTTTAGTACACGTCGAAATCCTAGCTTATTTACTCTTGAAAATTCATTTATATAGCTCTGTGCCTCCTTATATCACAATGTGATTGGATTTCAACCTTTATTCGTAATACAGGACTTCCTTCTTGAATCTTCTTTAGGTTTTTAGTGTGGTCAGAACTTTACTTGATTGTTAAGTGGGACCCATACTCTTACATGCCATGCTTAGTTGGATCTTGGCATTTTAAGCGAAGATTATGCTAAAAGAGTTGGTAAACCTAGAAGTGAAAGACAGTTAATTTTTCAAATATTTGCTCATTGTCGAGGTTATAACAATATAAATATGATAATGTCTTGTCAAGCGAGAATCAGGGCAGAATTTTTACTCTGGACAAATTACTCTATCTGCCATTTTGGTTGTCTAGATTAATACTTTTTATTTTTTGCCATTTTTTTTCCTGTCAGACATATACCGGTAGCATTTTGATTGCTGTTAATCCGTTCACAAAGCTTCCCCATCTATACAATGTACACATGATGGAGCAATATAAGGGAGCACCTTTTGGGGAATTGAGCCCTCATGTATTTGCGGTTGCTGATGCATCATATAGGTAGGCCAAATTTTAGGAAAAGAAATTTAAATTGTGACCCAGTTATATATGCTATTGCTATGTTTTTTGGGGGGGTTAATATATTTTCTTTTCTCTCACAGAGCAATGATTAGTGAGGGTAGAAGCCAGTCTATATTGGTCAGTGGAGAGAGTGGGGCAGGGAAAACTGAGACAACAAAATTGATTATGCAATATCTTACGTTTGTCGGAGGTCGAGCTTCAGGCAATGACAGAACCGTTGAGCAACAAGTTCTTGAAGTGAGAGTCACTATATGTTAATCTAATTCTATACTGTACCATTTTGATTTAGATTTGTTTGTGGTCACCATAATTTTCCTGGAGGAAGTTTTAATTAGCTTAAAAACAGTGATTTTTGTTGCAAATAAGACACGTGAAATATGTTCTGGATGTATGTATTAGGACTGATCTTGCAGCAGTTTATTTTTCATTTAAAAAATGATAAACTGTTCATTTACGGCAAGAATGTAGGTTTTTGATGTAGTTGCATGGCATTAAATTTGCATTTTTCATCATACAGTAGTAACAACACTCTGCAAGTTATGGTATCAATGCTTTCACTTTTTGCATGTTGCAGTCAAATCCTTTACTGGAAGCATTTGGTAACGCAAGGACGGTAAGAAATGATAATTCAAGGTGGGTAAAATTTTTTTCTCGAACTTATTATTATTATGCACCTTATTTTATTATTAATTTTTAAAATTGTCATTGCTCTGAGTATCATTTACATTAGACCATTTTGAAGACTGGCTCTGCTGGTTTATGAATCTTTTTACCCCTTTACATCATGCTAGTCTGTAACCACCAACCA